AGTTAGCTGGAGTCCGATCGAAAACGTGTCTCAAAAAATACTTTTACATCATTTTTCCGATCATTTTTTCAGCTCGTAACGATAGAATCAGTCAATTTAGAACTAACATGTATGCTATCGGAAAACATTTTGGCACAATTTTACTGAAAAGACGAGTTTTTCATTGCTCATGAATATTAATTTATGCAAATGAGACAATTATTTCAACCAATCGTGTCATGCAACTCCCCCCCTGGATACTACAATATGCATATATTACATATGCACATTATTCAAGTGAAGAAGCAGATAGTTGAAAACAACCCTTGTTTTGCTGTTCTATGTTATTGTGTGTAACTTCACATTCAAACCTGTATAAACATGATCTACTATTCAACTTACATGCTGTATAGTTCAGTTGAGCAGTCATTGGTTTGTGAACATGAAAGACACCCTATTTGACAATTTTTTTCACAGTATTTCATACTTTTATTATCATTGAAGTCGTTCTAGCCAAAGTGTTTTGTGGATTCAGAAATATTGCACACAATAATTTGTTGTAACAGGCATTATAGCATGGTTACACATCCTTGAAGGTCGTGTATGAGACACTATTCATTTCCCAACCTCATTACATATGGAGAAAAGAAAGGAGAAAAGTTATGCATTTTTTTTTTTTATTTATTTAGTTGTCCTTTGACAGACTTTTGGCTATTTTTGTTCCAAAAATCATTTTAACATGTCATAAACTGTTTCTTATGCATGCCTTTACTTTTAATTCAAATTTGGTATTGACATCACTCATGCTGGGTTACTCATGCATTTGTTTCATACTTGGATTCAAAATGGCCTTTTTCTTTTTTGCCTCTTTATCATATTTTTTAACAGATTTGGCTTAAATTTGGTAAAAAAAATGACAACATTTTAACATGTGATCAACTCTTTTTCAGCCATGGCTGTGCTGATTTCATTCAAACTTAGTATGAACATGGCTCATGATGGGTTACTGATGCACATCATTTTGTTTTGTGATTTGATTCAAAATGGCTGACCAGTGCCAGTTATTAGCTCCGCTGTCATGAAGATGACAAAGCAGAGCTGTTCCTATAAGTAATTGTCTTCTGTCATTTTGGACTAAAAACATTTCATGGCGAGTTACTGACAAATGTTTGTTAGTTCTGTGATTGGATACAAAATGGCTGACCGGTGACCATCTTTCTAGAAATTAGACCAATTGGCCTTTTGCTCAATGGTTTTCGCATGCAAACTTTACATTGTTACTACTAAGGGTTAAACAAATGTAATTGATCACTGGAACATTTGGATTGATTTTATGATTAGCATGGTCATAAATTTGAATATAGGAGAATGCTGGTCACCTTTGTAAGGCCGCTTCAGCCTCTGAATTGATAATTTCCTATTTAACGCTGGAGTGTTTTGTTATGCCAGAAACTCTGAATCTCTGGTTTCATGAGGAAGGCGCGACATTGCACTTTTTAACGTTATCCGATAATATCGTCTAATAATGTCTAAAAAAAGTCTTAAAATGTCCAAGTTAGGCAGGTCTGTCTGGGCAACTATTGCGACAGTTCGTTTTTCTTCGATAATATCGTCTAACAATGTCTAAAAAATTGTTTATAGTGGCATAAACTACTAAAAAAGGTAATTTACCCGGACAGCGATTTGTCGAGAAATAAATGTTTCATTATAATCATCCAGGATTTTTTGTAGTCTGAGAATTATATTCCCCGTATTAGTACAGAAGATTTAACTAAAAGCCGAAACGCTCGTTCAATGCGTCCAAGCATTACGTTGAATGTTGAAAACATTCGAAGGGAATGACTAAATTTTACTTTTCCCACGTTCAGTTAATTTGAATATAAATTACAGAATTAATTAATTATAAACCTCAACAAATACTTTATCTTTCTAGGTATAAAAAATAATCCTTGACAACTGACAGCGTAACGAAATATATTTATTCAAGAACGATCGGATTGCACTAGTGGCGGACTTTACAGAAGTACATAACATTGCCACATATAGTATAAACTAAATGTTTATTAGCCATATATACATATAGTATAAACTAAATGTTTATTAGCCCCCGCCGGATCTGCGACCCGGGTATTAAAGGGGCACTGCTCAATCCCATGGATTGCACCAAAGAATCATGGGACACTTGTTTATGTTGTTTACAATGTTAATCTATCTTTTGTTATCCATTGTTATTTTAATCCAGAAAGTAAATTTGTTGTGAGATTAGGCTTAACTGGAAGGTGCCCCTTTAATTTGGGTTGTGTCTGTGCAAATGTGTGTGCACATTTTCATGTTACCAGCTTTTTCTCACACATGTGTGATCCAATTCAGTTCAGAGTTGGTACAGAGACAGAAATTGATGGTGCTATTGTGCACATAAAGTTATTTTTTCGATTCTTCAAAGTTTCACTGTGTTGTTCCTTGATTTTAACATTTTTCCTTCAAAATCCGACTTGAATATCCGAGTTTTGATGACGCTTACGCAGTTCTCGTCTCTGTGGAAATCAGTCATTTTTGTGAGGATATTGTATCCTGGAATTGTATCTTTATTTACGCAACGCTTATATGGACAAAATTGTGTCTCGTCAATTTCAAAGGTAAGAAACTGTGCTTGTTATGGTATTTATACACTTTGTATTATCGTTTGTGTCTCGGGTTTGGTGATCGTGAGAAACTATTACTAACCTGGCGAGAGTTTCGCCAGAAAAATTGCCTTTTTATTATGGTTGTAGGAACTGATTATG